AAATATTAACACATATATTAAAGGTAAAGGTTCCCTCGTACATATGCGCTAGTCATTCCCAACTCTAGGGGGGTGGTATCCATCTCCGTTTCAAAGCTGAAGAGCCAGCACTGTCTGAAGACATCTCCGTGTCATGTGGCCGGCATGATTCAATGCCAAAGGTGCATGGAACGCTGTTACCTTCCCACCAAAGGTGGTTCCTATTTTTCTACTTGCATTTTTTACTTGCTTTCGAACTGCTAGGTTGGCAGAAGCTGGGACAAGTAATGGGAGCTCACTATTACGCAGCATTAGGGATTCCAATTGCAGATCTTTCTGATCTACAAGCTCATTGTTTTACCCACTGAGCCACTGCATCTCTCCCTGTTTGTAGTTTATCAATGTCCTAATTCTGTTGTCCCTTGAGCTGACTAGCCTTAATGTTAGGCAATGCTGTTTAAGAGAGCATCTATAGAGGGTCATGCCAAGATACTTTGGTGTTGGACAGTGTTGTAATCAGTTCCCTTGCCACATAACATCCAACACTTCCCTTGCATCTCAGTTTGAAAGGTGGAATAGTTGATAGTGTAATAACCTATTTCTTCAAGTGCTAACTGTACATTTCCCAGCTATCCCCCTCATCAAAAGTTTATTATGTGGCTACTGTGGTATCATCTGCATAGATGAATAGATGTGTGTTGTCAGGGACTAGTTGATCAGTCCTATATGTTATACAATGTTGGAGACAATATACTTTCTTGTGGGAGCCCTTTCTTTTGTATCCTCCATCTACTGTACTTACCATTCTTACCATTCAGTGTCACAGTTGTGAAGGAAGCTGCCAATGACCATGGTAAATTTATTATCTCTGGTGATAATTAACTTGAATAGCAATATTCTATGGTTAAGAGGGCAGTGGTAGGATTCAACATTTTTTACTACCGGTTCTGTGGGCATGGCTTAGTGGGCATGGCAGGGGAAGGATACTGTAAAATCCCCATTCCCTCTGGTTAGCTGGGACTCGGGAGGCAGAGAATAGATGGGGGTGGGGTCAGTCAGAGGTATTTACTGGTTCTCCAAACTAAAATTTCTACTACCACTTCTCTAGAACTGGTCAGAACCTGCTGAATACCATCTCTGCTACAGGATAATGTGCTGTAGTTAAATCAATGAAAACCACTCCAATAATTAGCTTTCTTTTGAAAGCATCCTAAATAGGTTGTATTAAGATTTAGGATTTAGCCACAACAACCTTGTTCAAGGTCCCTTATGATCTTTGCATCAATGAATTTTGAGATATGGTTGAGAATCATCCATATCCATTCCAGTGTCTTGTGGAGATGGCAGAGAAGTGATACTGGTTGGTAATTTTTTGGATCGTTTAGATCTTTGCTGGGTTTTAGTAAGGGAGAAACTCTAGCCTGTCTCCACAATTTCACTATCTTAAACCTGGCTATACAGTTCATCAAGGAGAATATTTGTAGCTCAGGATTGAAATGAGGGGTCCTTGGTGTTCTGAGCTTGTTTGTTGTTGTTTTTTGCAGATGTTTCATTATCCTAACTAGTGCTGTTTGCTGTTAGTTTATATTCTGGTGTCTTGCCTGTCTCTGGGTGGGGGTGCTCTTAGGGATTCTTCCTGAGCTGTTTACTGATGGCTCTTTGGCAGTTTCTTGATTGGGGTATTGCTTGATTGTTGGTTTGAAGTTGACCTTGGAGTTAATCTATGCTGATCTGAGTGCCGATTACTGATGGAGAGGTGCTGGAATCTTTTTCTCTTTTGGGCTGGATGATTAATATATAAGGAATACAAAGAGTATTCTTTAGTTCTCTGAATACATACAGAGTATGGTATGATATACTTGGCCATCTAAATAAATATTTCATCACTAATTCAGAAAATATATTTTCTCAATGCTTTTTAATATCAGTATTAATCTTTAATTCCACATCACAGCAGTTGAGTGGGGAAAGAAAATTTCCAAAACAAAACATCAGATATTTACACCTAAAATTCACATCACTTATTTGTTGATTCCGGAAACATGCTATCACAATATATACAATCAAATATCTTTAGGATTCTGGTACATTTTTTCCTTTAGTTTGTTTTCCTTACAATTAATACAGGTTTTCTGAACAAGAATACACAAAAAGAGAACTGGTTTAATGTGTTCGTGTGTGTGTGTGTGTGTGTGTGTTTAAATAAGATTGGCATAGGTTAAAAAACACATTTACAGGGCAGAATACCAGACATCACAATCTATACATTTTTTGCTCAATTTCCTGTACAACTACACAGCATTCATGTGAGATATCTACATAAAACATAATACAGAGAAAATTAAGCAAATTATACTTCCTTTCTAAAGTTCCTGCAGTCTCTTTATTCCTCATATAGAAAATTATTTAGTCAGTAAAATGAGGACAAGGGTGGGATGGGGAGTCAAAATGATTATGGGGATATTTCCTAGGAGGATTTGTTTTTCTATAATAACAAACTTTAACTATATTCTTTATTACTAATACATAATGGAATGAATTCATTCCATTTTCCAACCACTAATGTCTTTGAACTCTCTCTTTCAGAAAATGTATTTTGGAGCACTTTATGCCTTTTTCAAGGCAGGATGATTGTGCTATTTTTGTGTCCAAAAATATAAAAAAGATTATTTTCCATTAGCTACCTGCGTCCAAAAAAAGAGAGCTGCTTTTTACAGAAAGTCACTTTAACACATAGTTTCCATGCAATAGTGCTTATTTGGTAATCTGAAAAATTAATAAGCAACTTTAGTAATACAGCATAGGGTATCTAATAAGGAACCTGACTTCTACCCATATACAGGTAGTCCTCGACCTACAATTCATTTAGTGACAGTTAAAAGTTACATCACTGAAAAAACTGAGTTATGACTGTTTCACATTTCAATCACAGCATTCGCACAGTGACGTGATTAAAATTCAGATGCTTTGCAACTGGTTCATATTTATGATGATTGCAGTGTCCTGGGGTCAAGTGATCACCTTTTGCGATCTTCTGACAAAGCAAAGTCAAATGGGGAAACCAATTTCACTTAACAACCATGTTACTTAATTTAATAACTGCAGTGATTCACAACAACTGTGACAAGAAAAGTCTCAAATGGGGCAAAACTCATTTAACAAACGTTTCCCTTAGTAATAAAATGTTGACTGAATTTTGGTCATAAGTTGAGGACTACCTGTATTTTGTGATCTTCCAGTTCCAAATTATACAATGCTTAGTTTCACATTTATCTTTTAAAATATACTGGAAATCTGATTTTATACTTTGCACACAGATATATACACAATGTTTCCCTTAAAAAGCTATCACAAACTTGTGTGGACACGCACCAACATCATAAAAGAAACTGAAAAATAATGGATCCCGAAAATTCTTATTAATATATCAGAATGGGCTTTACTCCACAGAACTTGGTGATTATGGTAAATATGAATGTATTTGGTCCTTGATACCCTATTTAACATCTACATGAAACCTCTGGGTGAGGTCATCTGTTGGCATTGAATCAAGTATTATCAGTATGCTGAAGATACTCAGTTATTCTGTTCTGCCCCAGGCCATCCAATTGATACTGTTGAGGTAGTCTGCCAGTACCTGGATGCTGGGAGAGTGGTGGAGAATAACAGGGGTTTTTTTCTCAACTGATGAAATCAGACCTGTGTCTTTTAAAAACCCCTGAATCTAGTGATCTTCCCTCCTTAAGTCTAGAAGTTGTGCCAGTTCCTAGATTGGGAAGCAGTGCCCAATTTTCCTTTCTTCTGGTCAATCATATCCAGATCTTGGAGATTTCCTGGACAAGTCCCTGACGTTGCCGAGTTTTTAAAGTAATGGTTTGCAACTGCCTTTTGTAGGCTGAAAGAAATGACTGGGCCAAGGTTACCCAGTTGGCTTTGGTCCCAAGGTGGAACTAGAGCTCAAGTCTCCTGGTTTTTAGCCTAATTTTTTCACTACACCAAATTGGCACTCAACCACCACCACCACCTCCATTTAGATTTATAGCAACGTTGTATATGAGGCCGCCCTTCAACAGCGTTTGCAAGCTCCAACTGGCCCACGGTACAGTTGTGGATACAATATAGTAAGCTGCTATATAAACCTCACTGACTTGTGTCTGGGGGAGGTGCTGGTAGTGTTTTTAAGTAGCTTCGACTGATTTGTATGTTATATTTTAACTTTTGTTGTCACCCAGAGTTCCATTAGTAGATAGTCAGCTATATAAATTTATAAAATATATTATATTTAAAAAAAACCTCCAAGCTAAATAAAAAGAAAATATATATATATATATAGTTAATATCAGAATTCAATCCTCTAACCATTACTTACTATAGAATAAGACTCTAAATTCATTGACAAATATTTTAGTTAAACATGCTTGGGAGTTCTGCCGCTCTTTTCAAACTTCAAAAAGATTATATGCTTTAAGAATCCTGCTGGAGTTTTGGATGAGTGAAATTTAGAATGCCTGGATGTTTGATGTTCTAAAATTTGAAACTTATATTTTCTACTGTGCTTTTGTAGATGGGGGCACCAATGGGAAAATGCTGCTAATGGGACTAAAGTTAAGAAATGACTGTAAACAAAATAATTTTTCATGTCACTTCACTTAAGAAGTTAACGTGTGTTTTGCACAGAAGAGACATTGAGGAAAGTAACTGAACAACTCCTCAATATTTGACCACAATTGGGAGATGAGCTTCCATTATTAGGTGATGCAATGTTTAAGTGAGTCGCTCCTGCTTTCACTACCTTTTTTATCATGATCTATTGCTAAACAGTGCAATTGTTAAGTGAGTCGCAATCGATTTTACTATCTTTTTTTTTTACTGCATTTATTAAGTGAAACCCTAGCTTCCCCCATTGATTTTGCTTGTTGAAAACCCCTGGGAAGGCCACAAATCCTGAACATGTGACCCTGAGATGCTGCAACCATTGTAAATACAGGCCAGGTGCCAGGCACCCAATTTTGATCATATGACCGTGTGGATGCTGTAAGTGCAAAGACCAATTAATAGTCAGTTTTTTCAGCACTGTTAAAACTTCAAGTGGTTGTTAAACAAATGGTTGTAAGTTGAGGACTACTTGTACTTCCATGAAAAGCAAATTCAGCCATAGGAAGCTGTGGACACTGTACCCTTGGTTTTTAGATTTGTTCCCCCCCCCTACAAATAATTATTCACTGATTAAAGAAATGAAGATTTTAAATTTGTTTTTTTTCCTAGATTCTATTTAACATTTCACGAGCAGACCTTCATTCATACATTGGCTATTCTTTTTTGCTTTTATACTCCAGTCTGCTTCAAAGAAGAGTAAATTTTGAGAGTATAAAGGGCACAAGAAAGAAAATCCATTCTACCAATGTTGCATGTTCTATTAATGGATAGATATCTTAATTACTGACTTTTGTGGGAGAAACACAGAGTAAATCCATATAGTGAATAGGATCCTAAAGTGTTAAGTGACTCATAATTTAGTTTGGACTTTTATGGTACAGCCATCAACTTATACATTTTTCACAATGTGCTTGTGGAAAATGCAAAAATAAATGGAATGTTTTCCTTTTCAGAGACTGGGCAAAAAACAAAAACAAATCTGGATCGTAAAGCTTTCCCCTTTATATTTTCCATTTTAAGAACCTGGAATGAATTATAAGAAAATGAAGCATTGATTAAAATTATTCAATTATCAATATAAAACTATTTTGCATTATAAGTTTTCCATATTGCTTAATGTGTATTCCTTTAATATATTTTCATACACTTTTCCAAGTTTAGTTATGCTATCAACTACTGCATAATATATGACACCATGTATCATGATTCCTTTGGTGGAAATGTATGACAACATGTAAAATTAATTGGTGGAACTAGTTCTTGAATATAAATTAAGTAGCTCCTTTCTCTGTATACCAATGTCTTTCAATCAGTCACAATTTTAATACCTCTACCTTAACCCACTGGAACAGGTTTTTATTTTTTTGGTGAGTCTTTAGAGAATATGATACAAGACATTTGAGGCAAAGATCAAGTATGCACTCAGATCTTCCTTTTATTTTATTCTAGACCACATTCCCAGCTGCTGACTCATAGTTATTCTTTGCCAATCCTGAATTGGCTTTTGGCAACACCATTTTTTAAGAATAAAAGAATGCTGGGGCCAAAAGCTTCTTTAGGCACAGCTGGCCAGAAATGGGCTACAGATTGTTTGAATAACACCATGATGAGAAAAGAAATTGAAATAAAAAGTCTAGCAAACTAGGAAATATGTAAAATAGGCAATAGCAAGCGAACATAAGTCAGATTGCTTCAGCATTCCTGAGGCAGTGCAAGGAGATCACCACAAAAGAGTTCATATGCTTCAAGCCTGAAAGATCCAGTTATCTTCAAAAGCAGAATTCACTGTACTTAAAACTTTAAACTGCACCTTCTGGCTTGACATTTCATGGAATCTCCAAATCCATTTAACACAACAAATAAACACATTCCTAGTGCAACTGCTTCGATTTGTGCACATCTTCAAACCAAGAGGAAAGCTTGTAAAAATCCCATGCTGCTTCCCCTTGTGTCATTCAATTCTTCCTGTTATCTGAAATTGTAGAAGGAATGTAGCATCCAGTGTGGGGAAAAAAACAAATCCCAAACCACTAAAAACCTGGAAAGTATAAAATTAAATAAAAAGGAAAGCAGCAGTTTTTTACATGCTGGCTCAGTCTCTGATTCCAGTCAATCTCACAGAGCAGAAGAAAAACAACTTCTCCTCTGCTTTTTCACTGTTCTGGTTCTAAAACCTGGAATGATTGTACAAACTATGCCCTGACAATTTTGCCTACTGCTCGCTGATGCCATGCTCCCATGCCACCCTTGCCTGCTCCTCTTTTGCACCAGTAGCTGGTTGGGCAATTTTGCGATGCAGTGCTCGATATTTTTCGTCCTCTTCCAGGATAATTCCCTCTTCATTTGGGTGACGGGAATGATACGGTTTTGGGGGTAGAGCTGGAGGGTCCATAGTATCCTGAGGAATGACTCCAGACGGAGCGGAGTGGCTTCGGCATGGCTGAGTTTTGAGAGTTTCTAAAACATCAGGTTCTGAGAGACTGTACCTGACAGGGAGATAGGGCGTCTCTAAGTCTTCATCAGTGTTCCATGTCTGGCTTGGAACAGAATCCATGGTGTCTGTTCGAGGAGGGGGTTCAGATGAATGGCCAAAATTACTTTCACTTAGTGAGGAAACACCACTGCTAGCACTACCAGAAAGAGTGGAATTGCTTCCATCCAGGCCAGACTGGGGACTTGTGGGGGATGCAGGTATCGGATGAAGAGGTGACTAAATGGAAAAGCAAAGCAAAAGAGACAGGCATGCACATATTAGAACATATAAAGAGTTCCATGTAGTTCCATGTTGAATACTTCATATTTGCAATAGATTAAAGAATATTATTCCTATTTTCAGCTCATTTTATGGTAGCGATATCCTTGATTTTCATCTCAATTAAAAAGAAACCTATCTCACCTCCTCTAAGCTTCTAAAATGCTATATCTGTTTGTGATGATAGGATTATCCAATCTGTATATATCTTTGCTGAACTGAAAAATCACAAAAAGCCAACATTTGTATTAGGTAATATTGAATGAAAAGCACAATATCTACAGCTGAGCAATGTCTTTATAACTGGACCAAGCAAAATATATAAAAAAAGCATGTGTGTTTTAGAATCTTACAGAATACTTTAGAACTGAATGGTTAAAAAGACTGTTTCAGAGTCTTTCAATATTGTTTAAAGACTGAATGTAAATCTTCATTTGGACATCTAAATTCTTCATTGCTATAAATCTTTCTTCTATATTGTATAATTTGGCATGAAGCAACTTAATTTTAGTTAAATATGTACAATTTCTAAGCAAGACTACTTTTTTAAGGGTAATTTCTTGGTGAACTAGATGCAATCTGCATAAAAAATATAACATTCAGCTGTGATTCAAGTATGGAAAACTTCAAATGAATTTACATTACATTAGCATTTACATATATGAAAGATGGCAAAAACAGCACACACATTTCCCCCATTTTTTTCATAGGCAATATAAATGCCCTTAAAAAGAAAGTTTAAAATGGATTAACGGGTTAGTTATATTTGAAACATTAGGATTTTTATTGAAGAGTTAAAAATAATTAAATATATAAAATAAGAGATTACTGGATATGCAGACTGTTCAGTATTCTAGTATAAAGACAATTGGATTTGCAAAACAAATCTGAGATAAACCATGTGTCCATATAGTAGAATTAGGGATCAAAGAATTAAGGATGAAATCAAAGATTTAAGGCAAAACAAGGAATAAACTCTTTTTTTACTTTCCTATTTGTACCTAATTAAAGGCTGTTAATAGAAAAAATAGACCATTGAAATAGACTATATTTCAATAGACTATTGAAAAAGTCACACATTTCAAAAGAACTTTGAGAAATTGGGAAAGAATATTACAGCTATCATAACAGCCTCAATAGCTGCATATCTGACTGCATCATTTAAAAGAGATTTGAAACGAGTAGAGATGAAAAATAATATTTATGAATTTATAGATAAGCTCAGTGGAGAGGTAATTTGAAGTGAAGTCAAGATGGGATTTTGGGGGAAAAACCGTTGGCTTACCTGAACAGTCGTTCTCAGGGCGCTGCGAGGAGAGTCCAAGCATGGGTTAACACAGCCTATCTACCCTTGGACTGAGTAATGTTTTTCTTGACCATGCCTCCCTTTGCCTCTCCCATGTTCAGTTTAAAAACGAAAGGACAATCGTATGGTGAGAGTTCACAGTCAATAATACAGTCACAGTTTGTAAGAAAAACCCCCTGGGTGGGTTTGGACTCTCCTCGCAGCGCACTGAGAACGACCGTTCAGGTAAGCCAACGGTCTTTCTCCAGTGTGCTGCTTGGAGAGTCCAAGTGTGGGACATGCCCAAGCTATAGAGTCCCAGGGTGGGTAAGAGCCAGAGCCTCCAGAGTTTCAGCAACTCTTTGCAAAATTCTTCTTCCGAAGGAGGCTTCGGCTGAGGTGTCTATTTTATAGTTTTTTATAAAGGCAGTGGGGGAAGCCCAGGTGGCCGCCCTGCAAATGTCCAGAATGGATGCCTGGGTTGCCCAGGCTGCTGACGCAGCCGCGCTCCTGGTAGAGTGTGCGGTGACCTTGCACTGGGCCGTCTTGCCCTGATGCTCATATGCCAGCTTAATGCAAACGCGCAGCCAACGATCTACGGTGTGAGATGAGACCTTGCTGCCGAGAGACCCAGGAAGGAAAGAGATGAAGAACGCCTCTGAACAATGGAATTCCTTACTCCTCTTTACATAAATGCGGATGGCACACCTCACGTCCAACTTATGCCATTCACGCTCTCTAGGGTGAGAAGGTTTAGGACAAAAGTTAGGCAATATAATCTCTTGAGATCTATGGAACATAGAGTTAATTTTATATATTTAATTATTTTTAACTCTTCAATAAAAATCCTA